AGCACCACATAGAAGTCCAGGCCGTGGATACCAATGCTTGGGGTCCTATTTGATGCCCAGATCGATGTGTTCCTGGATTCCAAAAACCAAAGTTTCCAGTATCTGAGAAGTTGTTTTTTTCTTAATTCATATTCCCATACCTTCAGACCTTTCTCCAGGATTTCTTCTGCCTCAGCCCCATGGACCGGGCAGTGGACAGCAATCTTTTCATTTCTCTTGATGCCAAAGGATCTGACAGTGTATCTAGCTTTGGAAAACACAGGGGTCTGCCCTGTGAGCTGCTCCAACACCTTAGCTGCCCAGGGCAGTCTGCCTCCACTCTCCCCGACACAGATGTTGAGGCAGAGCTTGCGGATTCGAAGCTCCAGCATGGGGGTTCTCTTTTTCACCTTGATCCGCCATGATAGAGAGAGAAAAAGAGTCTTCTTTCTCTTTTTAAATTAACTTTTTGAGCCTGTACTGGAGCTTGAACTCAAAGCCAAGGTGCTCTTCCTTGGCCTTTTCACTCAAGGCTGATGCTCTACTACTTGAGCTACACGTCCACTTCCAGCTTTTTTAGTAGTTATAAGAGATACAATTCTCACTGATATTTCTGCCAGGGCTGTCTTATTTCGCAGCCTCTTGAGTAGTAAGAACTACAGGTGTTAGCTACCAGTACCTGGCACAAGCCACTTCTTAATGAGAGCCAAATACAAAGGACCGAACATCCTGGTTCCAGACATAGTCCAAATGTTCACAGGCCTTCATTTGCAATGTGTTTTCTATGTTCCTTTCTTGATAAAGTGAAAACATATCAGGCCTGCTTTTTATCCAAAATGGCTGAGTAATCAGCAGAGTGGCTACACCCCATACCTGGTCTACTCACCGCTGCCCATCAACTCTTGGGTTTTTGGGAAGCCTGACTTGGTTTACCTGCTCCAAGGTTCTGGACCTCAAATGAGCTTCTTCCTTTCTGTTAGCCTAATACCTACTCTGGAAAAGTGATTAAAACATCTTCCACTTAAGGTGGCTCTGAAGATTCTGTGGGACACTTAACACCGCTTCCAGATAATTAACAATTAACAAAAAGCCCTGGAAAATGTCAATAGTGCCCTTGGAGCAGAAAGACCAACCCTTCCTCCCTCCAATTTATAGATAAAAATACTGAAGCTCAGATATATAGTTCAGCAGTATAAAATAAGACTAACCCCACACCTTGTGCGTGTCAGTTGGGGCTTCTTATGCAGTCCTGGACAAGTGTGTGTAAGTGAGCAATAAATCTGGGGTTACCTCCTCCTCTGTCTGAGTCACTGGGCCTCTCTTAAAGATAATCCAGAGTGATCTGGCTCTATCTTCCTTAGCACTCTTGAAGGGAAGTGAGCTCTCTATTAACCAGCTCTTGTCTGTTCTGTGAATTATATCCTCCTGTCACCTGGGCCAGGAGCTTTATTTCAGAGGTGAGGCCAATCTCCTACTCCTTCTCAACCAGCTACTACCCTCAGAGAGAATCCATAAGCCATGTGAATAATAGCCTAGCAAAATTACATTTGAACTTTGTCTCACCATCCACCATTTTTCTAGTGACCAAACAGACTTTGCTACCTGTTCCCTGAGATCCTTATCATTGTATCCCTTTTCAGTCATAGTTTTCTCATTCATAACATGAGGGCATGAATATCAGCCTTGCATGTTGTATGGGTTAAGGTACAACATGAGGCTGTGTTTTACTCTCTGACTTTCCTTCCTACTGAATCTCTCATTCCTTCTTGGAATGGGAAGTAGAACTATGTCTTCTGATCATCTTTGCTTAGCATTTCTCAGCAGAGCAGCACAATTGCCAGAACCCAAAGAAAACCAGATGGTCCCATTGACCATAAAAGAGGGAGAAAGGTTTATTGAGTTTTTAACACTTGTAGGTAAATCTTTGCTTACTGAGTTCTAAGCTAAACTAGAATCATTGCTTCCCAGTTTCCAGCAATGAAGTCTTGGTCAAGTTAGGAAATGTTTCAGATTCATTTAAAGAAAATTCGACAATATTTGTTTCTCTGGGTCTTTTAGCAAACGTTGAGGGTAGACAGTTAAAACATGTGACTTTTCTGCCCCTAACTTTCCTTTCTTCCCTCTCTCCCTGCCCCCCTCTCTTTCCTTCCCTTCCCTTCTATTCCTTCCCTTCCCTTCTGTTCCTTCCCTTTTCCTTCCTTCCTTCCTTCCTTCCTTCCTTCCTTCCTTCCTTCCTTCCTTCCTTCCTTCCTTCCTTCCTCCTTCCCTTTTTTTTGCTGGTCCTGCTAATTCAAGGCTAACATTCTACCACTTGAGCTACAGTACCATTTCCTGTTTTCTGGTGGTTAATTGAAGATAAGAGTCTCCCGGACTTTCTTCCCTGGGCTGGCTTTGATCCACGATCCTCAGATCTCAGCCTCCTGAGTAGCTGTGATTACAGGCGTGAGCCACCAGCGCCCAGCTTGCACCTAGCTTGTCTTTTCCCATCTATTTACCATTCGAACTCTCTGTGCCTTAACTTGCCTTTCCATAAAGTGGGAATAAAGTTCCTGGACTATTAAATTCCTAGAGCCATTGTGTGACTTGGAATAAAGGCGGAGGCAGGTCTGAAATCAATGAAGTATAGTCAGAACCCGTGGATGGGGTTTTGTCAGACTGGTTGACCTGGAACTAGTGAATACTGTGCTGGTCATCACTGGCCCAGGCTGTGTGTGTAGCAGCCACATTTAGACAATCACTTAATATACAGTCTCTTACTTGCTCCTCCTGAGGCCCACCAGGCTCTCCCGTCTACCTGTTCTGCTTTGCCATGCCCTTACACCTGCCACGCACCTTCCTTGTCTGACTCTCACAATCCCCTCTGGCTGGGTCACTCAGGGCCGTCCACACACGTTAGATGTAGCAATGGTGACTGCCCCAATCCTGCAGGCTGTCAGAAGCCACAATCACATGACACCCTCACCCCTACTTTCTCAGCTTACCCTCATGAATAAATACTAAAAAGACTCATTATGGGGAGATAAGGAAAACAGGAAGTGTTTCTGAAAGCTCTCAACAACCCACAGCATGAACAATCCCACCCCCTCCTGAGGCCACCAGTGTTTTTTTGCCACTAGGCCACCAGCCCTCTCAGTGACTGAGGAAGTACTGCTGGGTTTTGGACCCAGAGGGGCCATGGGGCATGGCCAGCTTAGAGCCAGAAGGGCGGAACGTAGAGGTAGGGGAGCCGAGCTGCTGTATTCTGGGCACAATGTCAAAGCCAGCTGCAGGGAGAACAAGCAGTCGCTGTGTGCCTGCAGCTGGCCGTGGTTAGGCCAGGGCTGTCCCTCACTAGTGGTATATTTAAAGAGATCCCACCAGATGATGGTGCCAAGGGGAAAAATGCTAACAGATCTCTGCTAGCCACAGTTAGTTCCTCTGCCAAGGCGCTCCTCCTTCAGCCACAGCTTCCAGACTGAATATTTATGTGTAAACAGAGGAGGGCTGGCTCCCCAACCTCTCTCAGGTGTAGATGGTCTCAGCCATCTACCACCCAAGGATACAGGCCCCTGAGTCTCTGTGCCCTTTAGAGAAGCTGGCCAATGGACAGGGGATTAGCCAAGGATTGGTATCTCCCACCCTGGTGTCAGTAACCCAGCAACCAAACGGGTGAGCCCAACAGATGAGTCAAACAGAGCCTTGCAGAACCTCTGGCTTGATGTTTTGTTTGTGAAAGGTCTCTGCTAGGGAGCGGGTGCACAGCCTTCCTCCAGCTCCCTCCAGGGCGTGGCAGGGCTTTCCCATCCTGCCTCAGGGCTGACCCTCTTCTCTCAAAGGAGTGTCCAGGACCCACTGAACTGCTCATGGAAGCTTCCAGACCAGACTGGGAGGGGAGGGGGGGCAGTGTGAGTGGGAGGTGCAGGCAGGAAGAGCCAATGCTGGCAGGAGGAATTCTGTTTCCTTCATGTGTTGTTCTGAAGTGGAAATCAGATTTCAGGTCTGAACCCCACGAGAAGGTGGGGTTAGAAATTAAGAATGCATGGAGGTCCTTCAGAGTGAAGACAGAGCAGATATGCTTGGAAACTTGTACATTCACATAGCCAGAAATAGAGAGATGCTCAGAGCAGTCCGTGAGAGGCCCTCAGGAGAGCTATCCTACCAAGGAAAAGAGCTGGGCAGAGAAAGGGAAGCAGACAGACAGCTTATCAACTGGGGAAGGGGCCCCAAGGGCAAAACAGTTGGAGGCAGGCTGCTACAAGTGCTGGAAGGCTTAGGAAAACAAAGTACAGCAACAGGATCTGCGGCATCATCTGTAGTGCCTGGTTCACAATGAAAATGCAGGGAGGGCTCTTGGTTAAAAAAAAATAATCAAGAGTGGAGAAGTGACAGTGAAATCGCCATTCTTCATTACTGATAAAAGCCAATGAAAAGATGATCAAGAATTTCAGGAGAACAGATTCTTCTGAGTTCTGTGAAGGTACAGACAGAACACACAGGAAGCTGTCCCCAGTACCTGTAAGTTCAGCTCCTTCAGGTGGGTGACTGAGGGATGTCTGGTCAAACTCACAACCCCCAAATTCTCCATGGCAGCCAGTTCCAAGCCTCTTACAGGGGCCTATGACACTGCTGTTACCCCATGAACAGCCCTCTCCCTGGATGGTAACTGTCTTTGCCTCTTTGAGGGGGTAACAGTCATACTATGTTGGGAGGACTGCTAAGGAGACTATGGCCATATGGGTCCTAGAGCCCCCAGAGATTCTCTGGACAGGCCAAGAAAGGCAGGTCCATCAATTGGAGTACTAAGAATGAGGTGATTGAAGGTGTTTGAGGATAAGATAAAGGTATGACAAATAGACTACACTTTAGACTACTTCTTAATGAACCAAGAGATTGTTTCCTGAAGGTTTTGTGTGTGTGTGTGTGAAAGAGAGAGAGAGAGACAGAGACAGAGACAGCGAGACAGAGAGAGAGAAAGACAGACGGACAGAAAGAGAAAAGTAGAAGCAATGTTCAGGAAGCTTTCTCCCTACATGGGAGCTTACCTCTAGTTCTATGTGGTCATGGAGTTTCTTACAGGTAGCTGCAAAGGTTTCTGAGGTGCCAAATTCAAAGTACCATAGCTTGTTCTTCATCCTGGACCATGAAACACAGAGATAACTCATATTCAGTACTTGAAATAGTTACATACAAAAAGCTGCTATTTGGTCCAGGAGGCCCAACCCTTTGGCATTCTCTAATACTACTTTTTCAGCACTTGGTAATCAGATGATTGAGGAAGAGTGAATTCTAACAATTATTTTTTGGCTAAGAACTTAGAAAATGTGTTCATTTCTTAGACATCATGGGAACTCTGAGTGACTGTTCAGTATGCTCTGAACAATTCTGGTCAGAGCAGGAGAAAGGCCTGTTTTCCTCTTTCCAAGGAAAGAGTTCTATGGAGTATCAACCAGAGGTTACATGTTGTAGTCACAACATGCTGTGGTCACTGTCTTTCTACTATGAATGCAGATGACCTTAGGCACAGCCTTCTTTTGGTAGGTTGGGGGTAGGAAGGGGAGGTCATATAGCTTTTTGAGACTGAAGAGGTATGCAGTTTTAAGACAGGAGGGAAACCCACACTTAACTCAGCCAAAATCTGCGCTACTTTGTCTATTCTTTCATGCGGGAAGAAGAATGAGAAAATTCTGACTCTGCAGGCAAGTCAGAAAGAGAGGGAAAAAATGTGTATTGTTTGGAAACAATAGACGATACATTCTCCCCACTACTTAGACTATGACAGTCCTTCATTTAAGAATAGATCTTGTCCTATTTGTTTCATGGTAGAAGCTCATCTTTTTTTGTTGTTGTTCTTGGTCATGGGGCCTGAACTCTGGGCCTGGGCGCTGTCTCTCAGCTCTTCAGCTCAAGGCTAGCACTCTACCACTTGAGTCACAGCGCCACTTCCCATTTTCTAGTGGTTTATTGGAGATAAGAGTTTCACGGACTTTCTTGCGTGGGCTGGCTTTGAACTGCGATCCTCACATCTCAGCTTCCTGAGTAGCTAGGATTACAGGCGTGAGCCACCAGTGCCTGGCTAAAGCTCACCCTTTTGAGTTAAGAAATTTCTTTAGGAGAGAATTCCTTCCATGGGATCCCTGTGTAGCTTGGGGCTTAACAAAGTCAGATGGTATGCCTGACACTTGGTGGTTGTGGTCAGATGGTCTCACCAGGAAGTGTTCCTGAAGGTATTTCATTCCTTCCATCCCAACTGTCACCCCATTATCAGGAGCTGTCTAAGTGAGGTGACACCTGTCCAGTTTACAAGCTGGCAGATATTGCTAAGGGAGGATTTGAAAAAAATCATACTCTTCTTGGCACTCAGGAGAGAGGAAGCCACCTTAAATGTTTACTAATCCTCTGTGTTCAGTTTTGTGGACTAGCAGGGAAGAGACATTCTTCAAAGAAAGGAAGGCTCCTATTTCTTTCTGGTGTTTCTTAGGCCATAGCAGATGACTCATCAGAATAACACATTTTCTCTGCATCATTCTAACACTCTACCTAGAATGTGAAGTTGAGTCTGTGTTCATCCATTGCGTGCAGATTTTGAATCTCTAGTTGGAAAGTAGCCTTTCTGACTTTTCATTTGTGAAAATAAAGGATAGATGATGAAGGAAATTAGAGAGGAACTATGCCACATGGACAAAAGTTAAAAGAACCAGGGCTACTTTAAGTATACCAAAGCTTCTCAACCAGGGTTGAGTTCCTGAGACATAGAACTCTTCTGTCTTCAGGATGGCAGATGGTCTGTATGGCTGAGCCCCAATGCCATAGCAGACATTCTCACTGTATTCGCAGGATGTCGGTTGAATAAGTCTTTCCATTTTCTAAGGATGCAATGGTGGGAAAAAAAAAGGGGGGTGGGTGGGGGGAAGCATTGTTCTAGAAGAGTGGCTCTCTGTCTTGAAGTGTGTTACCGTACAGATTCTGATTTAGTAACTCAGGATTAGAGCCCCCATCCCTCATTTCCTAACACACACACACTTGCTGCTGCTTCTGGTTATAGGGATCTAGAGAGTTCCTATGTAATTGTCAAGAGCTTGTACTAATGACAATTACTGGGGAATGTGAATCAGATGCTGCTTCCATGGCTCCAGTCTGTAGAGGAAACATTGCTTTAATCCTAGTGCGGTGAAAGCTGTGGACAGACAGAACTGGTTAAACCTGATGGACAGAGAAAGTTCTTCAGGGGAATAGAGGGATCATCAGTGCCTTTCACTAGGCAAGCTCGGCAGGAGACCAAGTAACGGGGACAACACAGGTTGTCCCAAACACCAAGGTCAAGCGTTCTTTTCCAACAGCAAGGAGAGGCCCAGTGTGGTTCCATTTTCAAGTATCACTGCTGGTCTGAATCATGATTTTGGAAAGTTATTGCCAGAAGATTTAGAGTTTTAATAAAATTTCCAGAAGCCACAGCTATTTTCTTTCATAAGTGGCTCTTTTGATGATTTAATAAGGTTAAAGGTCACAACTAGGTCATTGAAAAAAAGATGGAGAGGATTAAGTGGACTATTTAGGCACTTGCCAAAGGGCAAACTGTTTAATCTGTGTGTGTGTGTGTGTGTGTGTGTGTGTGTGTGTGTGTGTGTATAGGGGGGGAGGGGAGAATGTAGAGGGCTTGAATTCAGGTCCTGGGTACTGCCTCTGAGTGTTTTGCTCAAGGTTGGTGCTCTACCACTTAAGCCAAATCTCTAATTTCTGTTTTCTTGGTGGTTAATTGGAAAGTAGAGTCCCACAAACTTTCCTGCCTAAGTGGGCTTCCAACCCTGATCCTCAGATCTCAGCCTTCTGCATAGCTATGATTACACGCGTGAGCCACTGGTGGAGCTGGGATGGTGGTGGAACCCTGTACTGTTTAATTCTTTTAAGCCTCAGTTTCCTCAGCAGTAAAATTGAGATAAAAGCCTTGCCTTAAAGGGTAATTGAGAAAAATAAATGAGCAATGCATCTCACATGATGCTTGATGCTCACCCAAACTGCTAGCCATGCAGCATTAACGATTATTATTTCAGCATCTTTTGGATTACATAGTAAGGCAAGAATGACAACTTTGGTTGTATAGCTGTAGACACTATATATTTATATTTTTCTGAGCTAAAACCTATGCAGTCATATTTATTAAATCATACGTTTTGAATTTTGGCCAAAAAATATGTTCCCCACATGTCTAATAGATTTTTTTTCCCCCAGAGTTACAGGACACACCCTATTCCTTGGTTAATTATCTTGACTTGTCACATGATTGATCAAAGATGTGATTGCAAATATTCTTCTGAGAAACTGCATGTTTGATGTGAAACAAAGTATTTATTAATGCAACAAACATCTATTGTGCTAGGCAGGGACTAGAGGGTGTGCTAGATAGGAAAAGGACAAAATACAGCATTCCATGAGTCAGTCACCTGGAAAGGAAGACAAGGAAGCAGAACATTTAGTGGTGGGCTAAACACTGAAGGACTAAAGGAGGAGGGACACCCAATATTCAGTGGGGTCAAGGGCAATTAGAGCAAGCATCCTGGGAAGAGGGTGATTCTAGTGTTGAGTTCAGAGGCTATACAAGGAAAACAGACAAGGTGAACTACAGGCATTCCAGGCAGAGGCAGAAGCCCAGGTTTCTCACTTGTGCTGTGATCTACCTATTTTATGCTTCCTACTATAGTGGGGATGGCATGTGTTTGCCACCATGGTTAACTTTTTATGTTGAATGGAGTCTATGGTCTTTTTCTACCCAAGGCCAGCCTGGAATCATGATCCTCCTGATCTCAGATTCTCATATGGCTGGGGTAATAGACATGCACCACCACTTCTAGCTAGCTATTGATTAAGAAGGGATGTCACTTCTAGCTAGCTATTGATTAAGAAGGATGTCACCCATATGGTCTGAGGTCATCTTGAGCAGTAATCTTCCTGATCTCAGCCTCCCACACAGCAAGGATTACAGGTATGAGTCACTGGTGCCCAGCTGCCTCAGCTACTTTACCCTCAGCCCTTGTTGGAGGACTCTGTTCTGATCGTGGCACTGGCCTACTGCTTGTTTCATCTCTTGTTATACAAGACATGGCATTTGGAAGCTGGGAAACCAGAGTTCAGTCATGGCTTTGCTACCTACTGACTGGCAAATCATTTAGGTTCTGTGATTCCGCCTTTCTTCTTATACAAAGCAGAAATATTCTCTATCCAATAAAGTGAGGCTGATGTGGAACACGAAGCAGGTGTTTAATGCATAGTAAGTGCTTAATAACTGTCTTTCCTTGTTGCTAAGAGACAGGATTACTGGAAGACTCCTTACCTCTTTCCCCAATGGCCTCAGAGTTAAGGGCAGGAACAGTGTGGGGATCTATCCCATGTGGCCAATGATTTTGTTGTTGTTGAGAGAATAAAAGTAATAAGGTTTTAATGACTGTTGGAATTCTTTTTCTTTATGGCTCTTCTTGCATTTTCTTTGGCCACCATTTATTTCCTCTCATAATCACCTTTCAGCTGGAGATGACTAATCCTCCGTCCTCAGGCTTGTTTCCAGGTATATGAAACTCCCAGGTGCCTATTCCGGTTCTTATCTACCCAGATGAACCCATTCTTGAGACAGAAGACCCTCTTCCTGGCTCCAGAGGAAGCCATGGAGAGGAGTGACAATGAATAGTCATGGCACCATGGATTGACTCTATTTCTGGGTTGTCTTAATTTCCCCTTGGTTTATAAGAAAATAACATCAATTGCACACTAGTTAGTCAAGTCTTTTCATTTGACAGATGAGGGAAGAAATGAGACTAATTAGAAATGTTCTTTTATGTTTGTCAGCAGTTCAGGGCTGGAATCAATCATCATCCTCAAAGCTATGAATAGACTGTTTTTAAGGATGCCCAGAAGTAAAACCCAACTAGCTGCTGGCCATTTATACCACCAGTAGAAGCAGTGGATACTTTGCTCCTTCCACCACCCCAAACTCCTGGTGGCCCTTTTCTGAGAATCAAGGAAGTTTTAAGTGCAATATTTTTTTTTTTTTGAAGACATCAAAAGTCAGAACATGAAAACACTTCTTTGGGCTTAGAAGTCTACACAGAAAACACAGTTGTTTCTAGAAATAGAAGCCCTTGAAG